CAGTGTTTGTTTCACTTACAAGTGTCGAAAATTTTGCTTCATTTTTATTGTCATCTACATTTTAAGGATTATATTACATATTAAGATCGTTGCTAGGGAAAGTTTATCGTAAGTAAAGTCATAAGTTCCATCTACGAATGCGTTCGTGAAAAGTACTTAAGATTTATCGTAAGATATTCTTAAGTTAAAATCTTACGCAAAACGTAAGTTTTTTGTGAAAAGGTCTACAGGAAGCCATTTCATCATTTCAATATATATATATATATATATATATATATATATATATATATATATATATATATATATATATATATATATATATATATATATATATATATATATATATCATTAAATATCTTTTAAAAATAATAAAGATTTTGTCTTTAGTATAAAAATCTTTCTTCGTAACATCTGTTAATATATCTTAAGAGAGCTTTTATTGTCAATTTAAGCCGTCATGAAATAAATTAACAAAGAAATATAAAAAAAATATTAATTGTGCACTATATCATGTTACTTCAATGTGTTGACTTCTTTAAATGTTTATTGACTTTTCCCCCAAATTTCCCAAAAACTGTTTATGTCACGTAATTTAATCTAATTGTTTCTCAACTTAACTGTATCCTTAGGGAAAAAATATTATAAGCATTTTTTTTTTAATTTTGTATTTATTTTTTCTTACACACATGTAACCTGCAGAGATTGGCTGATTGTCCTCAATGTTATTTGAATTACAATGGCATATTTCTACACACTATATGCAAGATATGCTCTCATGTTGTACATGTATCCTGCTGCTGCTTGTTGTAATTTGGGCTCGCCCTTTATGCTCGGCGACACCTTGCTGCTTTAAAATATGCCACATCCAACAATAGCCAATATCAAAATAAACTTATTTAAAATCATTTTGTTTTATTTCCATCTATATAAATATATGTAATAGCATATTTATGCACACTATATGCAACATAAATGATTTTAACATGCAAAACAAGAATGTTAACATGCAAGATTATTTTGTATACACGTCACTCAAGTTAATTATTTGATATGTGCGTTTCCAATCATTTCACTAAATAAGATTTTAATAAGGGTATATTAACTTGATAACGCTAATATCTGGAATTATACATGCAAGATGAAACACCATTGCTTGGCTAATTGTCTAGTTCTCCAAATTGAATAGTAACTGACATGTCAAAATAATAATTGACATGTAGACATAATTACTGTCAATGATGAAAAACACTTTTTGCTGCAACATTTTGTTTCATACGACTTCCAGCTTTGCTTTTAATTGGGATATATGAGTATGGAAGTTTTTTGTTTTAGGTAAATTTCAAGTGCACAAGGTATCTATTTTGTTTTATTTAAAGTAATATGATTAATGTTTAGTTAACATTTAATTTCTTTTATTTTTATAGAAGGCAAAGCTTGAACAAAGCATCAAAGGATACAGAAAGCCCGACTGTGGCTTTTGCAGAAAAATATGACGAGAACCAAAAGCAAAAAACGACAAATAAAAGTGGTATTTTCTAGAGATTCTAGAGAATCATAACAAAGTATTCATACATATATACACATACAAGGGGTGATCATAAGTATCGAGAACTAATTGAATTAAACCCATAAAAGAAATAAAATTAGGTTTCAGTGTTTGTTATTTTTTAAAGTAGTCCCCTCCGACTTCAATGCACATCTGCCAGATTCTGCCTATGCGCAATTCACGTGGTCAAGGCGGTCACACGACATGCTTCGTAGCAGAAGCTAAAAGATTTTTCCAAGTCATATTTCTTACCATGCAGGTTATTTGTTATAAAAGGAATAGTCCATTTGTCACCAATAATGAGTGGATAAGGATATCCATTCACAGAATGAGCATGGTGATCATTACAACCCGACTCCCCTGTCGTGGGTGTGTCGTTTATCTAATGTGGATCAAGTATGGACGCCTTCTCTTTATCATATCTGACATGTTTAAAGTCTAAAATAATGATGTTTAAGGTATTTGATAATTATTGTATTGTTTAGATATCAACAATTTCTCTTACTGTAACTTGGCGATCTTTCAAAACAAGTTGCTCAACTACGGAAACATCTCTTTCCCAGCTTACTTTCACTGGACACCAAAACGAACACCAGAACGAACCTCATTTTAACCACCTTCCTTTTACAGTCGTTCCCTGCTCGAGTGCAGCGGAGTCAAGCATTTTTTGTCAAAAGTCATCTTCATTTTTACGTCATTTTCACAGTTTGACGTCACAAGTATGGATCAAAACATTACGCTACATCTGTTATTTATAGAACATTTTAAATACTATATGTTCGTTCAAATTTATTCTGATCTGAATCGTGGGTTTGGAAATACAGAGAGAGTTTGCGAATTTTTTGATCACCCCTCATATAATATGCGTATAATTTTTAAAACACGTATATATCTACACACTATTTTAAATTTTTTTTTAAACAAATAAATAATAGATCTTGATCTTAATTGTACTAATATGTCTTAAACAATGCCATTTCAAAGAAAAAGAAAATCTCTCTCTCTCTCTCTCTCTCTCTCTCTCTCTCTCTCTCTCTCTCATATTTTAAAATTCTAGATAATGGAATAAAAAGCACAATCACTTTATATTATATACATTCTCAACAAAAAAAATGTACTATAATTTAATATCGATACGTTTTTGTTATATTGATTTATTTTTATTTTGATTTCTAATTCTAGTATTATTGTTTAAAATCCATTGAAACTAAATTTTTGTGATTCTTTTTATAAACACTCTGATCCCTTCTGAACATAATGTATCACAATCCCGAAGTGGATACATGCATTCATATACAAATTGCTTCCTTAGAAGTCTTCCTCTTTCTTTCCAATTAAAATAAACTTTAGGAGTCCTTTTTGGATTCCAATGGATCACTTTGTTACAATCTATCAGATACTTCTGACTTTTCTTCATTTTATCAATCTTTTTATCACTTTTATCAGTGATTGTTCTGGGAAGGAAAATATATTTCCTGAATATAAACAGTACTGAATTTTGATATTTAGGTCATTTGCCGCAGCCATCACTTCATGTTCAATTGCCAAGACTGGATTCGTTTGATGGCAGTGTATATTACAACACAAATCAAATGAGTAGTGATATTGGAATAGATGATCTACAGAACTATATTACAACCAAAAGTGGCGGTGAAAAGTCCATGTTTCTCCAAGAATACAATGTAAATGAAATATTTGGAGTCAAATATATTTTCATATTTTTAGATAAAATTGATTTTGTTTGTTTGTTAGTTAACGTCCCTCTCGAGAATTTTTCACTCATATTGCCGGTGGAGGGCTGCTGCAAATTTATACCTATACTCGGCCCTCGGGGCCATTAAGCAGTGAAGGAACTTTTTCGTGCTAACACCTACTGCGAGACGGGACCTCGGTTTATACGGTCTCATCCGAAGGACCGGTCTCCACGTCCCGCAGTGGATGCGAACCCGCGACGTTAGGATCAGCTCCTTACTCCGCGACTCTAGAGCAAACGCTGCGGGCCACCAGGAAGAACTGAAGAAAATCATCTTATTTTCCAATAGCATATTATCTTACATTGAGTAGTTATAAGAAGTGAAGCGTACACAAATGGACATGAAACACTTTATTTAGCATATGAATTATTGTAATCGGATATCAACAGGTTCAAAATGGAAGCATGTATTCTTTATCTACCCGTCGTCTCCTTTTCCTCCTTTTTATTTTATAAATTGAATACGTCTTTTCTATGAATGTGTATCTATATATGCTATAATAAAACCAAATTCATGTATATTAGGTTCATTCTTCTTGTATGGTTCACCATTTGATTTTGATTAATGTTTATATGATGAAATTTAAAAATAAATTGTGAATTTATAATTAGAAAGTAGCAACATCTAAATTAAACATCAATTGCAACATGAAAATAAATCATTAGCGATATATCCAAATGATATGAGAATATTTATTATACTCAATTACATGATTTTTTTTTTCATTTGTGTTTCCTTATGGTACAACTATTTTAGAATAAAACCTTTTTTTTTCTTTCAAATAATACAGAGATTACCATCAGGAGACCTTGAAAACTGCCATACAGCTCAGAAGACAGAAAACATCACAAAGAATCGATTTAAGACAACATTTCCTTGTAAGAATACCCGTCAGGAAATTGTATTTTACCTTTATCTTATCAAATCTTCTTTAACACATGTCAATTCCCTAACGTGGAAGATTAAAATTAAAATTAAAAAGGGAATAAATTATGTGACGTAGTACACAAATTAATATAGCACATAAAATGCTTTACCATATTTACTTATTGCTGATGCGTCAATAAAACAAGATTTCAATACAGAACTTCAACTTGTCATTTTAACCGATGAAATCTTATTACTTACAACAATTTAGTACGTTATTACGTAACATAATTATATTTTAGATGAGCATTCCAGAATTCATCTAGTAGAACAATGGAATAAAGATGAAAATGATTACATAAACGCAAATTACATCAGGGTATATTTTTAATTTTAGCAATCAGGTAAATTTATATTGATATTGCTGTACATGCAATTATTTAAATCTAAGCCATATCATTTTAGGATTTGAATGGGGAAAAAAGGTTCATTGCAACGCAAGGTAACTTACTTTTACTTTTTTTCAATTGATTTCCTGCTATTCCCATGTTGACCTACTCTTGACTAATGACACACACCATGGCACATTAATGCAGGTTAAATCACTGAATGAATTTTTATAATTTTGAGACGAACCTGTAAAGGAAGTCTTTAAAGTTAGAAATACTGCCATGTTCAGATGTCTTTCTTCTGTGTGATTGTTGTTTCTTGTTTTATGCATGAGTATTTCAAATATTTATTGTTTTGAACATGTCAGTTATATGAAATTAAAAACAAACCATGAATAACTGTGTACAGGTCCACAAAAGAATACAATAGGAGACTTTTGGAGAATGATTTGGCAAGAGAATATTGAATATGTTCTTATGTTGACAAATCTTGTAGAGAATGGAAAGGTATGCCACTAGATAAAGTATGTATGTTCGTTCTTCTTGTGTTTTCATTAAGCTTTCTAATTCTTTATTTATGTTTATATTGATTGTTTATTGATTGATCAATTGATTTATCTATTTATTTATTTATTATTTATTTATTTATTTTTCTTTGTTTTATGATACAGTACTATTTTTTACTTCTGTAAAAAAAGGGTTTTTTTTCGAATTAAAAGTATACAACTTTCTTTCAATTAAACCTTTGTAGAACAAATGTACGCACTATTGGCCAAATAAAGACCAATTTATGAAAATCGGTCCATGCAAAGTTTCGCTGTTGGAGGAAACAACATATGCTTTCTACACAATTCGACAATTTTCAATACAAAGACAGGATGTACGTTTTTACATGCTCTATATTTACAAAGAGGGAATGTCAAACAAGCATCTTAATTGACTTCTCGAAAAATTAAATTTTAAGAGAATTCAATCATTATCCAGAAGAGTAATGTTAATCAGAAACATTCATTTTCATATGTTAATTTGCAATAAACGAATGCACACCTCTAAACTGATAGATGTCTTATGTATGTAATAAAATATACTGAAATTATATTCTAATTTACATAAAAGTTAGCATCTGCAAGGACAATCAACCAGTTTCATTACACGGCTTGGCCAGACCACGGTACCCCAGAAGAGATAGGACTTGTTCAATTTCATAGAGCTGTTACCAAAAAATGGAAGTCTGAATCTCCCTTACTGGTTCACTGCAGGTTGGTGACGAAAAAAGTGATTTGCATCTCTTTGTAAGAAAAAAAGTTATAATAAACATGCTAAAGAACATATTTAAGGTTCTTCATATAAAAAATGATTGCTTTACGTTTATTTCAATCTGATACGAATATACCCGTCCTTTCTTGTGTTACTTTTCACAGGCGACTTTAACATCGATTTTTCACAAATATGTTTTAAACTGTCAATATGATCTTTTTCCATACCTTCTTAGATTGCCTTTTTCTTAAGTCTTGGCTTCTGACATTTTTTTGCTACATGTGTATGACATGTCAACAGTAAACATTAGATGTACATTTTGGTCGGCTTTTGACAGGTCGAAGGTTGTAAGGTCAACAATTGATAGTAGACATTAGATATCTAAAAGATTTTGTCGATGGGCATGTGGTTGACAGTACTGAATAGATTTTGTGTTCATTCATTTGCCACCCGTGGAAAAGTTCATTACTTAAAGAGAGACAATATGTGTACTTTACCTTTTTCTGCACTTTTTTTGTTTTTGTTTTGTTTTCTTTGTTTTTTTTTTTTTTTTTGTTTTGTTTTTTTTTTCAACGTCCCTCTCGAGAATTTTTCACTCATATTGAGAAGCCACCACTTGAAGGGCTGCAAATTTATACCTATACTCGGCACTCGGGGTCATTGAGCAGTGAGGGACTTTTTTTCCTGCCGACACCTACTGCGACACAGGACCTCTGTTTATAAGGTCTCATCCGGAGGACCGATCTCCATGTCCCGCAGTGGATTCGAACCCTCGATGTAAGCTCCTTACTCCGCGACTATAGAGCAGACGCTCTTTGCGTCCTTTGAACTTTGACTTAAGAATTATGTTATTGCCACCACTCTACTGGTTACAGTGAGTCTTGCAGCAGTCCGAGAGATTAGATCTAGTCTAGATAAAATCTAGTCCTTACACACAATTCGATTGATTAGGGTTAATCTTGCACCCGTCCTTGATTAGGGATACTCCTTGCACACTACTCGACTGATAAGAGCAAGTTATTGGTTTATGCTGGTCTTGCAGGCGTCAAAGAGATTAGAGGAGTTCCTTAAAGGTGCTTAGACACAGATTTGAACTTATATTTTCTCAAATTTTCTGCTTAATATCACGACTTATATATTGCAATAGCATTTCACACGAAAAAAAATTAAGACTTTTTTTATCTAGAAATTACTGGAACTACAAATTTCGGGACGCGTTTGATTAACACATCTTTGCACTTACACAAATTTTAACTTTATCCTTAATATTTAAGAAAAGAAGCGATTTTGTTATGTATTAATGAAAAATATTACGTCTATAATCCAGAAAAGTCAGAGTAGAAATGTTCGAAAGCAAAACCAACTCACCAGTATTGTCAGTCCGTGCTCTGTGATGTGTACAGAGTTTAACAAATTGAACACACCCGTGAAACGTAAACTGTTTTTGTAAACAGGGCACGAGCTCTGTTATTGTTAATGTTTACGATTCACCGGGTATGTTCAATTGTTAAACTCTGCACACACCACTGAGCACAGACTTACAACACTAAGAGTGGGTTTTGCTTTCGAACATTTCTACTCTGAATTTTCTGGGTTATAGTTTTAATATTTTTCATTAGTACACAACAAAATTGCCACTTTTCTTACGTATTAAGAATAAAATTAAAATATGTGAAAGCGCAAGGATGTGTAAATCCAACGCGTCCAGAAATTCAAAGTTTTAATAACTTCGAGATGAAATAAGATTTTTATTATATTTTAGTATGAAATGCTATAGCAACATATAAGTCATGAAATTATCCAGAAAATTTGAGAAAATATTAACTTCAAATCTGTGTCCAAGCCCCTTTAAAATTGTTTCACTGTTAAGGGTTATTCTGCACCTATCCGAGATATTCGAGTTAGTCCTCATGAATTATTTGAACGTTAAGGGTATTCTATGCCAAGCCGATAGATGAGGGACACACATTGTTTGACTGCTCAGGGTTCGTCTTGTGCATCTAAGAGATAGGGGCTAGTCCATTCACACTATTTGACTGATTAGGATTAGTCTAGAAACAAAAGGATTAGTCTTGCACATTATCTAAATTACATTGTTTGTATAGCAACTACCACTGGTCACGGTAATGCAGTGACTGGGGGGGGGGGGTCGTTTCCAATTTGTCGGCTCCTCCTCAAACCTAAAATGTAAGCGTAGATAATGATTGTTGCTTCGCAAAGCTTTTGGTAATAAAAGTGAAATTACAGGTCTTTCGGATAAGATATTAATGGTAGACCTTCGCACGATAAAGAACCCTCACTGCTCTGAGTGCCGAGTATAGGTCTTAATTTTAAGCCCTTCTCCGGCTTAAAGTGGCGTCACTATATGAGAAAAAATATTGAAAAAGAAGGCTGAATAGCATTAAATCCAAAATTCAATCAACGAGTAGAGATAGTAGAGTTTGTTCTCACATACCATGTGGGAGGTTAGGGAAAGCGCATTAATATGGGAGTAGGGAAACTGGAATGAAAGATTTCATTCAGTGAAGCGTGCATGCATATTTTATTGAACGTTTATTTAATATAAAGTCATGAAAATGATTTGACCATTATGTCGTTCATTGTTATCTAATGAATATTGAATGTCAAGTCGCCCGCGTGTCGCAGTGGTTAAAGCGTTTGCTCTAGAGTCGCAGAGTAAGGAGTTGATCCTTGCGTCGCGGGTTCGAATCCCACAGCGGGATGTGGAAACCGATCCTTCGGATGAGATCGTATAAACTGAGGTCCCTAGTCGCAATAGGTGCTGGCACGAAAAAGATCCCCCACTGCTTAATGGCCCTAAGTGCCGAGTATAGGTCTAATTTTGCAGCCCTCCACCTGCAAATGTGGCGTCTCCATATGAGTGAAAAATTCTCAAGAGGGACGTTAAACAACAAGTAAACAAACGAACTTAACTGGCAACCTCTCAACCGTTAACATACAAATATAAGGATGTTCTTTCAGCTGTCGACTTGTCAAACGTATGTATATATTTAATATTTTGTTAACTGTCGACCTGTCAACCGCAAAAATACAAATATAACTAGTGTTCAATTTGCTTTTTTTTTCAACCTTTAAAATTAAAATTGTTTTCTGTTATATATAATTACCATTGAATACGTATTGGATATTTTTTTAACGACAAGTAAAGTTTAAAAGTTTGCAAAATTCAAAGAATTTATTTATTTGTCATCTCCCTCGGGAGATGACACATTAAGTTTGAATCACCGGAAGTAAAGTCCTAGTGTAAGCTGCCATTGATAAGCTGGTGGTCTGGCAAAGGAACTGACGATGACACTATTTCTAAATATAGAGATGTAAACAAAATTGACCAAAGTCTGTCTATTATTATTAAACAAAATGGTGCATCTTAAAGTTAAAGTAAAACTACACCAGGGTTCATTAAGAGACATAGAGGTAGGATCACTTGGGTGGTGGTGGGTCTTCATTAACGGCTTATATATATACATAAACTTTGTATCTAGACTATTGCGTAAAACGGTCAGCGCGCGGGGATCAAAATACACAAAACATGGCATATTGAATGTATAAGCCAAGGCGTGGAACCAAGATTTACTGACGAAAGAAAACAGTGAAAAAATTTACTAGTAAATAACAATTACATTAAATGCATATATACAATGGCAAAAACTTTACTTTTATGTGCACTTTAGTCAATCGATAATTACTGCCGTATATATGAAAAATAAAACAGAACTTATTCAAAGAAAAAATAAATTTCGAAGAAAAGAAATTTTACCTATAAAAGCACAATTTAGGTAGAAACATAAATGTCTCTGATTTAAGTAACTCAGTGCTGCAGTCATTTGAATAAAGATCATAAAGAATCATTATGAGTATTTTCTCGGATGTGTGCACTATATTCTTTTTTATTTAAATTTACCCCTGTAGAAAAGTTTTAGGAAAAGATACAGTTTCCTTTATCTGGCTCAGATTTTAAGAATTAATAAACAAAGCAACTGTTATCATTTTCTTTATGCAATTCTAATTTGCGTTTTTTGTCAATGAGAAAAGGTAAAAAAAAAATCACTCCTCGTATTCTTGAAATAAAGCCAAAATTATAAAATGTGTGTCTCATGGAACAGCCTATAAAATCGATGTTGGTAGATTGGGGTTCTTTTCGGTGTGTAAATACTTAATTTTAAATGGTAACGTTCAATTTTATTACCTTTCTATGCATGATTTTTTCCCAGGAGCGTATATACATGTACTTACATGTATATTATACATAATATAGCGTTAAAACATGAATCTGCATGGGCAGCAGAAGGGCATGATGCAGGAGTGTCTCAATTTTTTCCCTTCATATTCCCAGTGGCTCGATAATCAATCAAATCCCAGTGGCTCGATGGCCAAGTCACTTCAGAGGATACGATTAAGGAAAATAAGGAAATTCTTGGGAATTAATTCAGGTTCAGATTAATTTTAGTTGGCGCTTTAAAACTTCTTTGCTGCCGTAGAAGGCGGCTAAGAACTAAAGTCAAAGGAACGTTAAGTTTTTATCCATCTTCTTTCGGAACAATTGTTAAAGCTATCGATGGTGTATCTGAGCTATAAAATAAAAATACGAGATTGAGTGTAGCTTAACATGATATCTGTTTTTTACGTTGAAATTAAATTTTTCACCGATTTTGAACTTGAATAACTTCATGTTTCCAGAGTTAGATTGATTAAAAAAAAAAAATTAAACTGTGTCTGTTAATTAAATGCGGAATCGGTAAATAAATCGGTTATTGTTTTTAATTTCTAATATCTTTGAAACGTGATTGATTTAAATTGTGTAATTTACAGGAAAGTCCTAATTTTATAAAAAGTAATAAAACAAATAGATTTTTTTTTTTTACTTAGGTAGTCTGAACTTATAAAAAACAAATACGCCATATATGACTTTAAATAATTCTTACGAATATTTCTCAGTGGTTAGAATTTTTTTGCAGACATTATACAAAATATATTTAAAATGAAAAAAGCATATTTACAACTGGTAAAATAATACAGACACGGAGCTTCAGGAGGGCCGCCCCCTTCCATTTTCCCCCCAAACATTGAAAAGGCGCACCCTTGTCCCCTCTTCCACCATTTGTTGTAGTATGGTACGTCAGATCACCCCATGAGAATGTATTATGATATAAAATATTTTTGTCGGAAAAGTTGTAATCCCTCCTTCCAAGAAATGAAAATGTTGAGTTTGGATAGCCCCTTTTTCTCCTTGTCAAAGATTGTTCAGATAAATCGTCGATTTTTTTTCTGTTCTCCACCCCCCTCCCCCCCCCCCCCATTTTTTCAAAAGCGATACTACTGCCTGTAATATAAGCTGAGAAAATAATATAACATTCCACTTTTTATTCTGTGACATTAATGAAGCCAAAGAGATGACATTTCAGGCTTTCTGGAAAGCCAAACTTGTTATTTATTTATTTTTATTTTATTTTCTAATGTAAAAAAGAAGATCCTAAATATTTATTTTGTGTCTATTGCAAAAACATTTGTAACGTTGCCTTTTAAATTTATTGCTTCATTCATACAGAGTTAGATTTTTCAATAGCCAACCAATGGGCAGTTAGAAATTTTGATGTACAATTGTTGGACAGTTGATTATTTTTATATCTTATTAGTGCTAATGGAAAAGTAAATATATACATCATCTTTTTTAAAAATTCTTATTAGTTGCATAATATTTGAGGACAAAAGCAAACACTCGTATGAGTGTGGATATAATCTTAATCATTTGTTTACGAGAACAAACCCTCGTCTCACGGTTTTGATAATACGTTATTTTACTGAAAGATTCGACTGATGTTCTTCCAATTTTGAAGTCAACGATAAGCATAAAAGTGTCAAATTGGTGGATTGTCAACTTTCTTCTTCGTTCTGCAGTATATAAAAATGGAATCCGTCAATCGCAATCCTTGTAAGGTCAACAGTTATTGAGAAGGGAGATTGGCAATGGTCAGCCCTGCAAACTTTTCAGTAGATTAGACAGTAATCTGTCAGCCAAATTTTAAATTTCATTTTTTTTAATATGATCAACTATCAAACCTGATATATGGTTGACAAAAAGAAATAACTACTACTTTTATATTAACAAGAGTCTACATAGAAACTACATACACTCTATTGATTACTGAAAAAAAACGATGATGTCAAATGCCCAAAGCTCAGTATAAACCCCTTTCGTTATATATGAGAATAATATTTTTCTCTTAATATTTGATATTTACTCAATGCATTTTTTCGCAGGTAGGTTAAGGCAGTACCCAGATCATATTTCGGCGAATTTAGACTTTTTTCATAAAATGTAACATTGATAAATCGGAAAAGCTATAGATTAAACATTTACTATTATATCCATTGTATAGACGTCATTGAGTCTTAGGCTAAAAGAAGCACTCCACTAACTACGTCATCACGTGACGTTTATAAATAGTAAAATTGCCTTAATGAAAAAGTGAAAAGTTCAACACTACCCCGGGGATAATTCATTTCTTTTTGTGAAAGTAATTGTGTAAAAACATCACTGGGTCATGAAAAGTGCTGCTGGAATCATATTCTCCCGACACAGAAAAAATTATTCCAAAGTTTCGCATGAAACCTTACCAAAATTATTACATTTTGTACAAACGATCAAGGAATTGTAATCAATTCATGTTAACCCACGATTCTAGCAGCACTTTCCAAGTTCTATAGAATACAGGTTTTCGATACAAACAAAAATTATGTCTCAAAGTATGCGGCGTAGTGTTGAACTTTCGTAACTTTGTTGTTATAGAACGACAGAGGAAAGGCTGATCGGGACTTCAAAGTACTGCCTGTGTTCATTATAAGAGAACATGATAAGAATATTCAGCGTACCTGATTCTAAATCTTTAATTCCTTATGAACCACACATAACATACACGGTATATGCCACTCCCATTTTATATATTTGTTTACATGAATTCTCGTCACATTTAATTTTCACTCGACAAATATTTTATCAATAGTTATGACGTCATGGGTTTGGTATTTAACCCCCGTGATAAATACTTAGCTATTCATACCACCCCAAAACGACAAGATTTGGTTTATATTATGTTTTTGAATGATTCCATTCATTTCTTGGACCTGAAATTAAACTTTAAATATAAATAATTTAATTTTGTTTGTATTCTAGCCTCTGATTGGTTAATATCCAAAAAAGGAACACAAATTATTTCTGTATAACCTGGTTTGGTATGGGGACACACCCCCCTGACAACCAGCTGAGTCATCTGTATCCATACAATCCTCTCATTTCCAGTCCTCGGAATTATGGAAAATTCCAGATTTAATAAATGTACCTTTAACTTCAAACAATAATTCGATCTTACCACATGTAAACACACAACATGGCTGCTAGGCCTATGTATCAGTTTTTACCTCCCCTTGCTTCCCATCACTTCCGTTACTTCCGTTACTACGGTTGTATTATTGAGCGGCAAATTTGAACTAATAAAAAGCAACGAAATTTTACACCCATAGTTATTTAATGATTTTAAAATTAAATTATAAGGAATGACTCTAATTCTTGGCCAAATTATTCGAGTATAACCTGGTTTGGGTCAGTTTACGCTGTTTTATAATCCGCTTCGCGGATTATAAAGCGTAAACTGACCCAAACCAGGTTATACTCGAATAATTTATAATCCGCTTCGCGGATTATAAAGCGTAAACTGACCCAAACCAGGTTATACTCGAATAATTTGGCCAAGAATTAGAGTCATTCCTAAAATATTAAGAAATCATTATTTCTAAACTTCACGTCATACAGCTTACTATGACGTCATATTGCAGAGGCAAGTAGGATATCTCTGGGTGTAGCCTTAACATACCCGCGTTGGACTGCCGTGATATGGCCTAAATATTTTCGAATCGGTGTTAAGCAATAACAATCAATCACTATTTTGGGACAATATGCCTATCTTTTCAGAATCAATACATGTTTAGACTTCTGCAATGACATGCCTTATGGTATTAAATATACATATTTATCGCCCATTATCGATGTTTGAAGATAATATGATAGTCGGAGAACTCTTGAGACTTGGATATAAGCTGTTTAATCTGCAGATTCCAGTGTTAATTACCTCGGTTTTTGCACGTTATTCTAAAATAATCACAGTCGGATGATGTTGAAAATGCTAGAAGATATATTAGGGGAAAAGATAAGCAATCAATTTCATGAACTTTGACCTTTCAGTGCTGGAGTAGGCAGAACAGGGACATATATTGGTCTGAATGTGTTACTCCAACAAGGGAGGCAAACGGGGCGGATCAATGTATTTGAGTTCGTGAAGCAAATGAGAGAAGATCGTATGACCATGGTCCAAACAGTGGTTAGCTTACTTTATACTCTTTTGATATATAAATAAAAAATAATATTTTTTTTCTATTTGTTCTCTACTTTTCATTTTCGAAGTTTATCGTCCTTGAACCATAAGAGAACCTTCATGTTTTCTTAGGAACAGTATGTGTTTTTGCATAAAGCCTTACTCTGTGGATTTCAAGATATAGAGACTGTGATATCGGAACGTGACCTTCAAGCAAAAGTACACACTCCTCTAAAGGAAGCCTCGCCTTTTAATCAACAAAAGCTGAACAAAGAGTTTCGGGTAAGATAAATGACCAAAGGGGACGAACTAAACCTTTTTCATTAAAATTTGCAGATATTTTGAAGTTCTTTTTATATTTATGCATTGGATTTCACATTTGAATGCATTTCAGTTGTTGTTGGCTTTGAAACCGATTTTTGATACTGAGACGAAAGAAGATGCTGTGAAACCCGCGAACCGAGCAAAAAATGTAGATATGGATATTTTGCCAGGTAAGATTTTAACTGATAATATTCTCAATACTTTTATTTATTATACTTATTATACTCATTTAATTAGATATTGATGAATATCTTATCTATTTTACCTGTAATAGGTAAGATTATAACTGATAATATTCTCAATACTTTCTTTTATTATACTTATTATACTCAATCAACTATAAATATTTTTTGAACGACGTCAACAATAAATTACATTGATTTTTTAGCATCAGAACATCGACCTTACTTAACAACCTATGTAAGAGGAAGAAATGATTATATCAATGCAGTCTTCGTTTCCGTAAGTATCATAATTTCGACTTTTATGGACATACAAGGAACATTTTCACTTTTTTATAAGATGGAATAGTTTTACTTGGTTTAATGACAGTCATTTTTTATTCAATTGTGAAGTGAACGCCATTTCTATAATAGTTTGTTTTATAAGATATGATGTAATTGTGTTCCTTTAAATCATAAATTTCTTTTAGAAAATCAAAGCATTAAACCAAATCTAATTTAACTTAATGAATGAATGTATGACATGAATAGGCAATTTCTATATTTTTTATACATTGAAATTGAAGACTTAAAAAATGCCACAGATAATGTTTAGTTTTATAAAATTTTATTTTCAGACTTTTACAAATCCATATGGATTCATTTTGACCCAGAAACCTCTTACAGATACAGTGGTTGATTTGTGGAGATTGTGCAGGGACCATGACGTTGAATCCGTGGTGATTCTGAATGATGATGGCGTGGTATGTGATTCAAACTTTTCTAAAGCTTACACTTTTTTACTACAAAATGCATTTTGTAAACTCTCTAATTAGAACTTTTTTTATCCTCTCTTAATATGTTTTAATCTATCTGTACACTGCCAATTTCAAAGAAACTTATTTTTCTTCCAAATTGTAAAGATTATAATAAATACATGCAAATTCGTTTCTTATCAAAACAAGGGACCTAACTGGCTGCCTAATGGAGGAAAAACGCTACAGTGTAAACCTTTTACCATAGCTGCTAAAAATGCCGGGTTTGATAGTGACGGTATCCGACAAGATCGTCTTCTTATATCGACAGATGTAAGGCGATTATAATGATAAAACTTATGATTCCTTGTTTGTTAATTCTCCAATTCTTATTTCGAATGTTTACTTCGTTTTTAAAATTAATTTCATTTTACACCATAAATTCATATTTTATATTATATTATGATTCAAGGATTACAAATCGTACATTGACGTCTTCCAAATACTATCTGAGAATGATGATGCTTTACTGAAAGGTGCAAAAATACTTCTAGAGAAAGGAAATACGTCAACATCTCTTGTCATAAGCAGGTTAGAATAAAGAAATCTGTTTCATTTCTTTTCTAAATAATGCTAAAAGAAAATCTTTTTAAGGGTAGATGATGCAAAAAAATAAATATCTGGAATGGAATATATATTTTGCCCTCTTTTTGTTGTAAATGCTGCAAATAATCAATTTCTAAAATATGAAGATATTGAAAACTTCTTTTTATGTTCAAAATGCTACCTTTCTGCAACCTTTCTTGATAATCTATACAGTTATTTGTCACTTTTAATCCCTTTATTGTAAAAAAAAAATGAAAACTTAAAACTATGCGGTTAAAGTTATTCATTTTACTTAGACAAACATGACTTAATTGTTATTTTCAAAATTTAGATAAATGTTTGTTTGTATCATCTGCCCTTACATGCAAACAGTACACTTTTCTTGGTTTTGACGAAACGAATAAATATTATGAAAAAAGCAAGACAAATCGAAAATTAGAATTTTACTCAACCGTTAGAAAATAAACCCATCTGATTTTTTTAACATGTTCACAATAAGAAAATTAAAAATCAGCCATTTGAAAAAGGTGTCCAATATAACACAACGATGACAGATGCTCTCTATTTATATTTGTAACTTTGCGTATATGTCTTTAACGTTTTCATGAAATGTGGGGAAAATGCATAAAATTTATATCATCGATCTGTATTTTACATTGATTGACGAGGTATTAAAGAAATAACATTCAACAAATTCTTTTGTATCTACTTTCAGATTACATATAGGTTTAAAAACCAAACTTAACTAGCCTTAAAGTTGTCAAAGGTAGTCGAGCGAAATTCTCACTTAAATATAACTCAAAGGCTTTGTCCAGATCATTACCATATTTAACGATAAAGAAATGATCAAATATACACATAAATTCATTGTTATTTGTTCTAACGTTTTGATCGTGCTGGCGGTTTTGTCCACTCCACGGGCTGGAGTATGGCTTCTAGGACATATGGATGCCCTCTCTACTTTAAAGAATGCTTGGAGGGGGACTCAAGGCAATGCCTGGCATCTTTAATGTACATGAACTTCAAATGTGGGTGGATCTATCTTGCTTCGACATACAAATGTCAAAGTTCTACTTGCAAACTCCTGTGGCAAAATCTAAATACACAATACATTCGTTATTTAAAAAAACACGTCTTTCTTCAAACAAAATTGCACATGCATGAGTTGTTTCAGCTTAACAAACAAATCATGCACAAATGCAAAGAATCGTTAACGAACAGGGATATTTTGATTTTTTGAATGTTATACGTGTATATGATGACAGAGAAAGAAGAGTTAACGTTCATTGATTGTTTAAACATGAGAAAGGTCTATGGCTGACATGTTAGAATAATATAGCGATGCTACATTACTTCCGTCCGATAGACACATGCAAGTTTATTCTATCTAATTATCGTTTTAAAAAAGAAATTGTGCATATTTGTTTCATTTGTTCTTTGATAGAATACTGTCGGGTTTTCATGAAATAACCTCTTTTCTTTATGGTGTCAAAGTTACCCTAACAATCCTCGTCGTGCTTGAGAAAAGTAGCATGGTTTTTAGAGGAAAATTAAAACATTCTGCACTTAACTATGTTGAAGTACTTTATGTTTACATCTTCAGATACTGTAATATGGTAAGCATGGCAAATAGAAAAGAAGTTATAGGTGATATAAATATATCTTAATTATAAATGGATTGGACGAAACGCGCATTCTTCCCCTTAACATTTCTTTTAATCTTGAAAAATATATGCATTTTTGTGAGTCGTTTTTCTCTTGCATTAAATGATATATGTTTTTGATAAACATTTCCACTCTTCACATCCGTAAGAAAGTTAATTTCCTAGATTTTAAAAAATAATGATTATAAATAATATGAAAATTATCTTCTACCAAGACCTTTGATAAATTGGTGAGAAAGAATTTCCTTTCCTCATTATTTTTTTTTAAATATGTTTATCTCCTAAAATGACGCACTGCAATCAACTTTACGTATTTCTATTCCACAGTAATGGTGCTGGATCAGCAGGAATATTTTGTGTTTTACATAACGCCCTTCAACAACTTCAAATGGACGGAGAAGTGGACATATTTACAAGAGTCCGTCAGATACAGACTAGGAGACCAGAAGTCATCACAACGCTTGTAAGCACTAGGAGAAACGCCTTTCAATATTCTTTTTTATGAAAAACGCGATAAATGTCTTTTTTTAAAAGAGATTTTTTCTAAAATTTTGAACGTTCGATTTAAAAACTTTATGTTATAACTAATTATAACCCTATATTATTAATCTATTACCGTTATATCCAATGAAAAGTCAGCTAGGCGTTTCTTTTAAAAGTACATTGTGAGAAATATGGAGATAACGAACAGTTATTAAGCTCCAAAGACCATTTAAACGATGCAAAGTGAACACAGAGCGAACACAGACCTCCTAGAACACCAGAGGTTGGATAGGTTGTCAGGGATGAATAATCATCCCCTCTGTATAACCAGTCATTTCTCTTATCATACATGGATTGATTGATTGATTGTATGTTGTTTAACGTCCCTCTCGAGAATTTTTCACTCATATGGAGACGCCACCACTTGCCGGTGGAGAGCTGCAAATTTTGTCCTATACTCGACACTTACGGCCATTGAGCAGTGAGGGATCTTTTTCGTGCCAGCACCTACTGCGACACGGGACCTCGGTTTATACGGTCTCATCCGAAGGACCGGTCTCCACGTCCCACAGTGGGATTCGAACCCGCGACGTAAGGATCAACTCCTTACTTCGCGACTCTAGAGCAGACGCTCTAACCACTGCGCCACGCGGGCGATATCATACATGGAAGATGTTTACTGTAATTGTGGATGTTGTCCTATTATTAACATATTATTTCTTTATACTATATATTTCATAGCATTATTTTATTACTGTCATCATATATCTAAATATTACTTCTTGAACATTCCTTTTTCATCAATGATGAATATAGTGATATAGTTAATCGTGTTATCAGTCTGTCTTTTCCCCATAGTGACTAGTTATTATCCATCCTAATTTGTATCTTCTATTTTTTTTTCTATTACATGAAATATGAAATATATGATATGTATTATTTGAAATATATGTAATATCCTATAATTTTTCATCTGATAATCATTGCTACATATATGCTGTACATATGTTTTATTACCTCTTGCTATTTATTTTATTTTAGGAAGAGTACCGGAAGTGTTATCAATTACTTGGTGGATCTCTTTCATCGGAGGGGATATATGTTAATTTTTGAGGAGTGAAATTAGAATAAAACATATTTTTGTTACACGCTTTATGAATTTTCTTCTTTTTTCAGTCTACAGACTATTATCGCACTGATTAAAAGTAATAATGTTATCAATGGCTTACATGATTCTTTTTTACATGACTTTAAAAAAATGAGATCTTTATTCTTTATGAACACCTGTAATTATGTATGATTGTACGTTCTTTCATCAAACACAGAATAATATTATTTCTATCGTAGACTGAACATTCATGTTGTATAAATTAAGAAAAATGATATTTCTGATTTTTCCTCTCGAAAATTGTATAATTTATTATTATTTGTATAATTTTGCATAATTTCATAAATAAAAAAATGTATAAGGGGTTTCAAGGAACATACTATCGATTTAATTGTTTTTCGTTTATTTGTTTAAAATGCATTATTTAAGCTGTTCTATTGGTGTCAAAGCTTAGACACTCCACTGATGTTGTAATCAAAATAAGTTGTAAAAAATAAATTCTTAAACATATATGAAATAAGGGAAATAGATGTGTGCCTACCCTGATTCCTTTCGGTAAGGTTGGATAATATATTAGCAAAATCACACAATTCTAGATTTCTAGCAAACTCTATTTTGTATTTTAATCATAAGAACAATTTAACTTTTTAACAGTCACGGGTCCAAAAAAGTAAATTTGAATATACACATATTAAATTACTATATATACGGTAATGACCACTATCTGCCCCCAAATCAAATTTTGATGGAGAAATCTATAATTGTGTTCTTAACAAGAGGGAGGGGGTATATACAGACTTTAGAGCATTACTTATTTTCATCAGCCGAGATGTCATATGTTAAAAATGACGTCAAGAAAATGTCAATTTATTTTCTTAAATGATTTTGAGGGTGAAAAGTGTATTTTACGTCAATATTCTGATTAAAAGTCATCGAGTGCAGGTCTGCCCCAGCTCCATCTTTTGATTTAATGTGTAGAATTATCAATCAAATGCGTGAATATTGCTCTGTGCAAGCTTGCGCTCAGTAAATTCTATACTCAAAATTGATCAAATTTTGCCCATTTTGTCCTTTATCATGAAAAAAAAAACGGAAAATTCAAATAATTTGTGACGTCACAGAAAAAAGCATTGGCTATTAACTACTCCTTAGCTAAAGTAATTATTATCAATTAAGAATTTTCGAACAATTGTGTACATATCTTCAAAAATTGCCCTTTATTGGTGCAAAAATATGTTTTTACTGCATGTAGGTTTTTTTTCCTCAATTGAAAGATCAATTACATGTATAATTATCTGGATAAGAAATGACATGCCATAATTAATATTTGAAAAATTATATTTTGGAAATATATGCAGTAATTTTTTTTATCACTCAGATACCCGCAGAACTGATATTTCTAATACGTTTAAATTGCATTGATAAAACTATATATATAGCGTGAATTTGGTTCATCTATTGAGTATACAAGAATTTTTGCAAGAACATACAGATAAACTGACATGAAAAAAATATTTTAACGAGAACTAGAGTAACGCACTATACGCAAAAAGTCATGTAAGTCAAAAATTATTTCCATTAGGCACAACTATGCTTCATCAGCTAACCCTGTTACGTTCTTATGAAACAGAATTCATTCAAACACTTCTTTATGTATTTGTATTGAGTTCTAAAGCCATTACATAAATGATTACGAGTCTGATATCTTAAAATAGAAGTTTTGTAACCGATTTATTTTCTTGAATTTTGAATGATGTCTCACTTTGATTTAGAAATACGATTGCAATATTCAAAGTGTATTTCTGTTTTGTCCAGCTCAAAGCCTTTTTATAAATATATTTTATTGAAACATTTCTCAATGAATTTCCTGAATGAATTTCATGTTTAAATTTCCTATCAAATAATTGAGTTTTGAATTTTTTGACACGAGACATTTTATTGTTGTTCTGGAAGATATAGGGTTTAACTGTATAGTCGAAATTGAAATCGAATTTTCAATTATTGTACCAACCTGCATCTTAAGCGACAAAGAGACGAACGGTTCTTTCTCCAAGTGCCCGGAATTAGAATGCAAAATGTGAAGATAATGAACAGTGATCGATCTAAAAAAAAAATCTATAAACAACACAAATATGTTACGAAGGGATCAGGTGCCTAGGAAGAGTAAGAATCTCCTGTTAACAGGTCACACCCGCTTGAGTCCTGTGTGTTTATCAGAAAGACAGAACTTTCCGTAGTAAAATTCAGTACAAAAAAAAAACTAGATGCTGTCCCCCGCCATTAAATCTCATTCGTCTGTCAGTCTGTCCGTCTGTCACAAAAACTTTAACCTTGGTCATAACTTTTGAATGATAAGAGATGAGGCTTTCATATGTCACATGTAAATTACCTTTGACAAGACCTTTCTAAATATACTATGAGTTTTGACCCCATGACCTTGACCTTGAAGTTTGACTCACTTTTCAACAATTTTAAAATCATATTAATTTGCTCATTTTAAAAGAGGAAAGATAGAGCTTTCATATTATGCATGTATTTTACCTGTGACAAGACCTTTCTAAATATATATTGACTTTTTGACCCTTTGACCTTGACCTACTGTACAAAAATGTTATATTTCCTTATAACTTTTGACCGAGAAGAGAAAAAGGACTTTCATATTTGATATGAACATTACCTGTAAAAAGATGTCTCAAAGCATGGTAGGATTTTTTACCCCTTGACCTTTAAGTTTTACCTAATTTTCAAAAATTTCAACTTTGGTGATTACTTTTGAATGACATATGACAGGGTGTGCATATTTGAGACAATATGCCATAAATAATGGCATCCCATCCACTAAGACATCGAAAGCAGGGGACCACAATTCTTTGAATTTGCTTTTTAGTCATATTGATATGGAAACATCCTTATAAGTGTAGATTGAAGGGGGTTTTTTTTCAGATTATGACTTCGAGGGTAGGGTTCAAAGCACAATAAGGGATCAAAGTTTTATATAGGTATTAAAGGAAAGCAATCTTCAAAATTCTTCTTATCAAGAACAACAAGACCCTGATTAGACATATTAATATGGAAACCTTCTGAAGTAGTGTAGCTTCAAGTTTGTACAAATCATGATCCCAAGGGTTAGGGAGGAACCTTTTTTTTCCTGTCCCTATTTGCCATACACATGACAATGCAAATTTTGAAACCATTTTGCACATCCACAGGACAAAAGCAGTCATCTTCCAAATGATTGGGCTAATGCATAAAATCTAAGGGAAGTTCTGGGATCCAGGGTGTTTTAATATTTAAAAAAAAAACACACAATTTTTGACCCCAATTTGACTCACAGGATGAAAATGAAAATTTCGAATCCTTTCTGCACATCTACAGGACACCACCAACCATCTACCAAAAGATGATTAGGCTTCTATGTAAAATATAAGAGTAGTTCAGGGAACAAGGGCCTTTTTGCATTAAAAAAAACTGTTTAAAATGTAGGACGAGTTCTGGGAACCAGGCTTTTATAGAAAAAAACGTCATTTTTTTTACTCCCCTTTTGCCCCCAGGGTTTAATTGAAAATTCCAAAACCTTATTTCGCATCTATAGAACACCACTTATCAAATTCCAAAAGATTAATTTAATTCTACTTAAAATATAGGAGTAGTTAGATTAAGAAGAAAGTGTGACAGACGGACGGACGGACAGACGGACGTACATGAGTAACAACAATGTACCCGAACTTTCTTTAGAAAGTGCAGGCATAAAAACAAAGGCCTAACTAAAGTGTTACTCAGGGTACCTTTAAAAATTGAGGTCCCTTATGACAGTAGGCGTGGCATGATAGCGATCCTTATCTACTTAGTGCCAAGTAAAGATAAAAAAAAATTCAGGAACTTCACCTAAATTGAAAAGTTTTAAAAAGTTTTCTTTCCGAACTTTAAATAACATAATCAGCTTGCGCTAATTGTAAAGAGAACCGTATCAGGTGTTCCCAAAACGCTCTCCTACTCCTCTATGGGCCCCATTCTTAGAAGCTTCATGAAATTTGGCAATTCATTTCTTCAATAAATCTTCAATTTATTTTCAGAAGTATTTTGTCAAAAAATCAACATCGAAATTGTCCTTTCAGAATTAGCCTAGAAGACTCCAGCGCACGTAAATGTCCAGTAATTCTATACGTTTCACATATATCTTTCTAATAAAGAGGCCCAAGATAAATATTATGTGAAATCTCCTAGATTTTCTTTGAAAACTATGAAAGATGCAGTCATATAAATATTAGCCAATCAGAATCCAAGACATGCGCATGCATTTTCCCGAATTAAATTTTAATAGCAGCTCTACGCAGAAACTTATTACAGAAACCGATACACAGAATTATGTATCATAGTAAAATCTACTTGAGTGCCAAGTATTTTTGATATCAGACAAAAACTGTAGGAGGAGTAGCGTTTTGACAAGGTTTCGCGTGTGTTATAGAGATTTGAACGTCGTAAATTTCTAATGGATTTCATAAAGAAATTTACACTGAATGTAAATATTTTTAATAACAACGATGAATTTAATGACGTGTATTAAAAATTTTTAAAATATTGTGATTTATTTCTTACTTATTTAGACTTTTAAAAATCCAAAAATCGGATCACTGAGCAGGTTAAAATTTTGTAATTTACAATCAAGACACCAAATAATGTCTGACGTCATATCTTCTATAAAATGACACTAAAACGGAAAAAGTCCTACTCGTTCAAATTAAGAATGTTTACATTGTTTCGTATTCCAAATAATTACTTAATATTTTGCTTCGTTGAAAAGAAATCAGTTTCAGAAGATAGGTAGTCATCATTGAAAAGGGCAAAAAGATGACGTCGTAGATGGTCAGGAAGCAGCAGTTAGTCATACAGTTTTATGCTGTACTCTGGAAAACTCCAGAAAAAAAGTCTAAAAATGTTGGAGAAAGAAGGAAATATGTCAAAAGTGATCCATGCATGTGTTGTGTACATGGTGCAGGCGGTATCTGAATGA